CCCCAAAACCCCAAAACCCCTTAAGGCATAAGTAAAGAGATTAAAATTTTTTAGTTAGAAAAATTAAGTAATCAATAAATTAAGGTCAAATAATTATTGTTTTTTATGTCTCTAAATCCAATTTTCTTAGCAAATTCCCATAAAATATCTACTCTCAAGTTTTAATTTTTTCATTATTTTGCATTTCTTTTATAACTTTTTGATATTAGTTTTTGTTCTAATTTCTCGCATCATCATCATATATAATTACTTTTTAATTTCATTATCATCCTTATCTTTAGTTTATTTGATAATCTCCTTTGATTTCTACTAAGCTTTAGAATGATTCGATGTTTTATTATATTAGTATTATCCTCTTACTATTTGTTACTAGAATCAATTTCTATTTGGCTTTGTTCTTTCTTGCCACTAATCCTATTTTGCTTGCATGTACTTTTGATATCTTGTTGAAACATTCTTATCTTCTTTATTAGCATAATCATCACCATTCATCTTTGCTCTTTTAAAATGGTTATTCTCTTGAAAAATTCTGATTGTTTCCTTGTCCTTGTACATTTAGAAAAGTATCAATTTGAATCGAATCCTTTGTTAAATTCTTTAATTTCTGGATCTCTGCTATATTCTGAGTTTAGTGACTTTGAATACCATAATTTTTAAGCATTTTGGCCAAACTTCTTTGCAATATTTGCATCTGAATATTGAATAGTCGCAGTCTAAAATATGGTGAATGGGTTGAGAATTTATTAGTAGCTCAAAATTTAGTGCAATCGGGGAGAAATGAAACATTTGATTTCATGTTTAGGAAGTCATTGCTTTGTCTGGTGAAATAATTCAATCATATCTACTCTTTGAGGATTAAAGCATAGGCAAGACATATAGCATCCTATAAGTTACTGAAATCTTCATGACCTAAGAAATTGTTCTGATAGCATTTAAGTCATAACTGTCTGCTGCATACTGAGCAGAAACTGGAGTTGTTTTTTTGGCAAATTTTGCTTGAACCGCTCATTATTTTTAAGTAAATTTTCAGCAAGGTCCTTAAATTTAAACCCCTCTCCTTAACAATTCACAAGTTTAGATTTCATGAGTAATGCCAGTAAAGTG